GCATCACCACGACCGCCAGCACCGTGCAGGCGAACAAACGGTGTCTGGCGTTCTCCGTCGAGAACATACTCGACCCTAACAAGTTCACCGGCGGACGTGTCATACACAGTCGGGTTCAGCATCGACGTCATCGGAGGAACGACAGCGTGCACGAAGGTGATTTTCATGGTTTTAGGCTGGGTTTCGCATACTGTGACTTCAGAAATTGGTGGTAGTCGGTTTGGTATGATTAGGTATTGTGAAGACTGCGAGAGGGTTGTACTCTTTAGGGTGTTAGTAAACAGTATCAAGCTGATAGTCTTTCAATCATCCCTTATCAATGGTGATCAATTTACTAAATATTGATCATCATTTACTGTATATTTGAATTTGAGTTAATATGAAAGATGGACTTTTGTCACGATATTAGTGGACTCGCCACATTTTCATTAATTTGATAATGATTGAAGTGACATAGCATCAACATATATTTTCTATTCAATTTATTATTACAGCCCATATTGCTGATGAAGCAATTAATTGTAATTGTTCAAAGCACCACGTCAACAAAATTAATTTTAATGCATAGCAAACAAATTGATTCAATTTTTAGACCATATTCTTTTCTACAGAGTCCTCTTCCAAATTAATCCTCGTACAATAATTCAGTCTGATCTTCATGCAACGCAATTCATTAAAGTTTGTCTTCCAAAATATAAATGATATGTACCATTATGATCATGTTGTCACAACACATCTGTTTCAAGTCTTATTGCGTTAGAAATGTTTCAAGTAGATCAATGATAAACAAGTCACCGAAATTATATTTTCTAACATTTCATCATTGAAGCCATAATTAGCTGCATATTTCATGAAACATGTTTGAAAGGTTTCATAACATTGACTGATACAGTAGACAAAAGTGGACAAAAGATAAAAAAGTCATAAGAACAAAATTGTTAGATGTCATAAAAAATGAACGTTTGATCCAAATTGATCCCACATTAAATTGCAAGAATTCCTTCACAATTATACAAATCTTTCAACTTAATTAAATGTACCGAATCTTCAACTCTTAATAGATTCATTAAAGACCTATAAAATTACCAACGTACAAATTTCACAGCATCAATCCGACCATAACGTGTCAGAGTCATTCTACCCGGTCGATTAATGTCGAAGAATTTGTCGCTTTCAAAGCCTTGGCTCAAGGTTCCTCGCAAAAGACCCGTAATCCCGGGGGGCTTTTTCTATCGCAAAACTGCATCCCCGAAACTTTATTGCTTCCTCGGTCGCGCGTCTTCCGACGTCGTAACCGTTCGCCAAAACACGGCCCGTCTTTTTCTCGGTCGAACATATGGGCCTCGTCTTCGTTCCATGATCTTGAACGAGATTTTTTCATCCTCCGTTCTCTCCGTTCTGACACTCTCTCTCTCGCTTCTTCCTCGTTCTAACTTTAGCCTCTAGAAAGATGGCTTGTTCGCGCGGCGTGCAGTATCGTTCGTTTCAAAGTTATTTGCGTATATTCCGACAAAAGTGATGATGTGGACGCGAAACACGGACTACGAATGTCGACTCTAACTTCTTAGGCGATTCGTTTCGCTTAATCCTTCCGCGAGGGTAACGGGGGATGATTATTTCGTTAGGGTACACATTTGATAGGTTTGTTGTGGATTAATGGTAATTGCAATGTTAATATTGAAGGTGGTTATTCAGGTTATGTTGTGGATTCTAGGTTAGTTGTATGTACTGCGCTACTAGTTCTCTGCACCCCTATTTTCATAAATTCGCTATATCAAGGTTAAATAGTATCTGATTAATTTCTGGAGATGAAGATTTCTAGGTTCGTATATCTGTACATCTTCCAAATTCTTTTACCTCTAGCTCTTTGTAACCGGAGACCCCCAGGTCCCTAGATACCTACACTGCTAGCTCTCTACACCCGTAGGTCCATACACCCCCAGATCTCTATAGCGTTAGATACCTACACATCTAGATCTCTGCATACCTAGATCTCCACATACGTAGATCTCTACACCTCCAGATCTCCACATACCTAGATCTCTATACTCCCCGATCTCCACATATATGGATCTCCACATACCTAGATTTCTGCACTCTTAGATCTTCACATATATACCTAGATCTCTACACTCCCCGATCTCCACATATATGGATCTCCACATACCTACATCTCTGCACTCTTAGACCTCCACATACTTAGATCTCTACACTCCCCGATCTCTACACATATGGATCTCCACATATCTAGATCTCTACACTCATAGATCTCCACATACTTAGGTCTCTACACTTCTCGATCTCCACACATATGGATCTCCACATACCTAGATCTCTACACTCTTAGATCTCCACATACCTAGATCTCTACACTCCCCGATCTCCACACATATGGATCTCCACATACCTAGATTTCTACACTCATAGATCTCCACATACTTAGATCTCTACACTCCCCGATCTCCACATATATGGATCTCCACATACCTAGATCTCTGCACTCTTAGATCTCCACATACTCAGACCTCTACACTCTTAGATCTCCACATACTTAGATCTCTACACTCCCCGATCTCCACATACCTAGATCTCTACAACCCCGATCTCTACACTCTTAGATCCCCACACTCCCAGCTCTCCACACACGTAGACTCCTACGTCCCCCAAATCTCCACAATCCTACTTCCCTACATCCTTAGATTTCTACACCCCCGTTTTCTGAATCCCCAGTCTCGATGTTCCTGAAGTCTCCACACATCTAAATTCCTACACCCCCACTGTATGTAGAACTCTACACATAGCTCTCTATACCCCCAAATTTCTCACTTCCTAAATATCTGTATTCTCTCAATTCCTATAGGCTAATTCCTACACCTCTAAATTTTTATACCCCTTGATGTCTACATCCTTGTACCCTTCACTCCTTCATTCTTCATACATACCTTTTATATCCTTACATTTCTTCAGGTCTCCATGTGTCCTCACTTCAATATTTTTACAAGTCGAATGCAATATTTAATTGTCTCTTTCCAACTGACGTCAATTAAGTACATTCGAAACCAGCCACCATCTGCCACGAAAGCTTATCTGTGTCCGATGATCGAATTCCCGATCCCAATTTCACAGTTGACTTTCGAATTTAATGGAGTCTGGCGGACAGATAAGAGGAAGAATCCCCGGTGCCGATAAGCTCGAAGGAAGCATCCAACGAAGGGGGTGAAACGACGTAGAAACGTAGCGAAGGAAGTATAGGGAGAGAGAGAGAGTATGAAGGGGTACAGGGTTGGTTGGACGAGAAACAGAAGAGAGGGCCAAAGGGGAGGGGAGGTTCGCGAGGGTGGCCTGTCGGAGCGTGACAAATTGCTCCGCTAATCTGCGTTAACCAGTCCTTGAACCCCATCATTATCGTCCCTTTATCCCGGTACGGGACACTGGCTGCAAACGAAATCGACCAACTAAGTCGACTGTGCGTCTTCGATCTCCGCCTGATGAATATGTCTACTCTTGTATCCCCGAATTGTCCATAGACTCATTCCATAGATCTGGAAGGGTCCTCTGGAAGGACTGGAAGGATCGAATAGAACGAAGAGCGACGGTTCAAGAAATAAGCGAAGAAAGACTCAGAAATGAATATTTATTATATATGCAGTATGTTGGTGGCACTAGTAAAATTAACACCTTATTGTACTTCGAGTTTGACTTGTAGTGATGGGTATAAGCTGCTGACTAACAGCTTACAGAGGAGGTATACTGGTTTCAGATCACATATTGTTTTAGTGGATGGCTTTAGTTTTACTTAAATTTAAAAAGTTACTTTTCAGACATATTGTGTATCACACTAGAATTATGGAAAGAATTTTATTATTTTTAATAATGCAAAATTTCAATCTTCAATTGTCGTGAAATACAGTAGACAGTTTCTTGTAGGTGATACAAAAATTGAGCAGTGGAGTCAAAGTCGCAAATGACCATGCACTTGTTCAAATAAGTAAATCAACCCTCATGCGGTTCTTCGGCTGAGCAGACCCTCAGAGGCTTCTCAAAACCAATTTTAATAAAAACGTAAATTGGTGAAATGAGCTGAGACATCGCCAAACGTCAGAAAAGGGTATTATTAATAGTAGAGTAATATAAATTTTAATACGGTCAATTTCATTAAACCTCAGCGCCCAAAATATCTCAAATAAATCCCTGAATTCTCAGATGAGTGAGAAAAGTAGACAAGTAGAAAATCAGCCTAAAAATGAAACACTCAATTTCATTAAACCTCAGCGCCCAAAATTTCTCAAATACATCACTCAATCCTCAGATGAGTGAAAAAGTAGACAAGTAGAAAATCAGTCTAAAAATGAAACACTCAATTTCATTAAACCTCAGCGCCCAAAATTTCTCAAATACATCACTCAATCCTCAGATGAGTGAAAAAGTAGAGAAGTATAAAATCAGTCTAAAAATGAAACACTCAATTTCACTAAACTTCACTGTCCAAAATTTCTCAAATACATCACTCAATCCTCAGATGAGTGAAAAAGTAGAGAAGTATAAAATCAGCCTAAAAAAGAAACAGTCAATTTCACTAAACTTCGCTATCCAAAATTTCTCAAATAAATCCCTGAATTCTCAGACGAAAAAAAAGTAGCGAAGTATAAAATCAGCGTAAAAATGAAACAGGGTTCATCAATGCGAGGTGGTAATTAAAAGAAAAAAGAGAAGGAAGAAACGTAGGATAAAGTGGAAACGAGGGTAGAATGTGGATCGATCGGTGGCGATGAAATCGGGATTACACGATTCTCGGGTCATCCATCTTCCAGGGTGGTCAGGGTTTTCCCATTAAAAGTGCATCAGAGCCAGACCGATCGGCGAAATCCGTTTCGACTGCTGCTAGCGACGAGTCCTCTCGACGCCCCTCCTCCCGTGGCAAATCCGGCGACGGAATAATATCGTCGGTTGTTATGATAATCGCGCAGCATCGCGCCGTATCGCGTCGCATCGCGCCAAGCCGCCCAGAAAATTGGCTCTTCTGCATCATAATGACTTCTCTCTCTTCCCACCCCTCGCCATTCTTCTACCCCCCTTCACGCACACCGAAGGAACACCCCTACCGTGATTTCAAATCTCCTGGATTTTCCGCTAGATTTCTGGAAAAATTGTAATTACCGCTGGATACCGTTAAACGCCACGTTCCTTATCGAAACGAGATTGTATCACCCTGGATCGTTAAGGTACGGCTACAACAATCTATTGTTCTACCGTGGTCCGCATTGTTTTCTGTGCAGAGCTTCTGGTAATATGATAATTGTGCGGAGGGTTGTAAAATATGGTTAAAGTCTTTGCGTATTCGTGAAAATATCAAGGGACTTTCTATATTACTAATTTTAATATTAACTAGGTTAAATTTGTAAAATTATGAGATATTTAATTCACGCTCATAAATCACCGTTAATAGAAGCAATCCCCCATTGGATCCATCATCATCAATATTTCCTCTCCAGACGTGTTCCAAATTTATCTGCACAGATTCAAATTTGATCGTATATAATTAACTAAGGTTTGTCAAACGTTCTCCAATTGGGTCGATCGAACTTGCTGCCTTCGATTCTCGGCTTCGATCCAAGAGACACGAGGGGAGCCTCCCTATTCCCAAATCGCGCCACTCGATGTCAAACGCTGTCATTGTGTTTAATGAGGAAAACCGAAATAAGTATTCGTGACTGTTCGGTCCTTACGAGCGACCGTCCCCTGTGCGCCCTTATGCGGACCCTGGGGACCCACGGTGAACACCCCGATCTCGCACAGAAGCCCGTGCCTGCTTAATGAAGAAGATCTAAACGAGATAAATGGTTTGCAGCGATTCCTAACGCAATAAAATCTCGATAAACGGTAGCTGGTTATTTCGGGAACGTTTAACTCTTCGATGAGTCAATGGACAGAATGTCGCGCTTATGTATTTTCTATGAACAATCTTGCGTTGGGTTATATTTTAGGAACTGTGTATTAAGCAAAATGACAAATACCTTTCCTGTATGTTGTTTTTCCAAATATCGTGTTAGAAGATACAGTAGCATACATGTGCACATATGTGTATACATGTGTGTGCATAGAACATACACATAAAAAATAACATATGTATTTTTCATGAAATTGTTGACATCACATATACATGTGGTACAAAACTGATCTATAAAACTAATGCAATATCTTGTGACATACACAAGTATACATATGTTACATAATACATATGTTACACATGTAATGTATATACATTAAACATACACTCCACATATGATACAGTACACATGTCATACAACTTGCATATAAAACTAGTGATATAAAAGACAATAATAAAAAGGTAATGTAAGTAAAAAGTGCTGATAATGACACTAATGCAACATACACATGTGTTACACATATATTACACATGTAATGAACATACATTAAACACACATTACACATATGATACAGTACACATGTGATACAACTTGCATATAAAACTAGTGATATAAAAGACAATAATAAAAAAATAATGTAAGTAAAAAGTGCTGATAGTAAAACTAATACAACATACATCTCAAGTATACATATGTTACATAATACATATGTTACACATGTAATGTATATACATTAAACATACACTCCACATATGATACAGTACACATGTCATACAACTTGCATATAAAACTAGTGATATAAAAGACAATAATAAAAAAATAATGTAAGTAAAAAGTGCTGATAATGAAACTAATATAACATACATCATGTAACATACACACGTGTTACACATACATTAAACACACATTACACATATGATACAATATAAGTGTAATGCAGCATGCATAACAAACTAACGATATAAAAGACAATAATAAAAAAGTAATGTAAGTAAAAAGTGCTGATAATGAAACTAATACAACATACATCTTATAACATACATGTGTTACGCATATAATGAACATACATTAAACTCGCATTACACATATGATACAGTACACGCGTGATACAACATGCGTATAAAAGTAATGATATAAAAGACAATAATAAAAAAGTAATGTAAGTAAAAAGTGGTGATAATGAAGGTTAACCGAGACAGGCGGAGGTCCATCGGAAATGGGCGAAGTACCCGGGAACAATATAAATTACGCAATTCAATTAGACGCAATCAATCGGCAGTGAGGAGGCGTGTCCTGCGAGTGAAAAAGATAGGAGGCCACTGATGGAAAATAGGCAAAGAAAGAGGAAAGAGGAGGAAGGCGTAGGCGGTCGTCGCGGCGGCCTGTACGACGGGGCAAGAACGATCGCGCGTTAACGAGATACAAATCCCATTACGACGTAAACCTTCTCGATCCGTCGCCCCCTACGGACTTCCCCCAGCCACGGCTATGGGCCACGAGCCACGCCAATTCGGATAAAGTCTCTCTCTCTCTCTCGAACATCTCTTTTTTCCTTCGCTCTCGTATCTTCGCTGTCTCTTTCAATCTCACCCCCTGTCTCTCTCCCTCTCCGGTTTTATCCGGCAACCTATCCCCAACCTCCACGGACCAGAGCCAGGGAATATCTGTCCCCGGGACATCTGCGTGCTGATTGAATCTCCAATCTCCTCTCTCATTGAGCGAACGATTGGCCGTTCTCTTTCTCTTTCACCCCCGGGAGAGCCGTTCCTCTCTCCGACGCCGTTTTCGATCGTTTGTCGGCTCGGTGTCGGTCGGTCAGCCTCGCGATATCTTCACGGGAGTACCTTTTCGCGATTAAGCGCCGTCTCGAGCAAACAAAAATTAAATTAAACGCGCGCCGATACGCGGCGCGGGACCAGCTTTTGCGGTCGGACTGCCGACACGCTCGTTAAACTGATTGCCCCGAACAAACGCGAGCGTTCCTGGCCGCGAGCCTATTCCCGCGGCGGACTCGTGAAAAGGGTTCCCCCGCTAAAGGGAACTCTATTCTCGTACTGTCCTCGCGGAGCCTCGAGAACCACCCGTGAAACTGCTTTTATTCCTCCAGCAGTTCCACCATCCACTGGGAATTATACTGATTACACCCATTTCATTCCGAACTGAGATTTTGCTTTGTAATGTACAAATGACGTATTACCTCGATTGGATTAACCGACTGCTTTGTTTGCTGTACTCTGCATTTACCATCTACAAAAAGATCCAACTTCACTTTGCCTGAGAACTTATGAATTTTTACATTTCAGTCCAATTTGCCCGAAACTGCTATTTGATATAACAGACTCTAACAGAAGTCATCAAAATCTACTTCTACTACATTTTAATATAAAAAATAGGTATAGAACGTATCAGACATCCCAGCAAACCTAACGCAATTACGAAACATATCCGCAAACCCGCGTTATCGAATCCGCGTCGAGGGCTAGACAGGGCGTGAAAGAGTGTCGTTCTCGCGTTACCGCTCCGTCATAGGTAAAACGACACCCGCGTCGCAATTTCATCCGCCGTATAATCAATTTTCGTCACGCAACACCGTATCGCTTTCCTGCCCGATAATCTTCCGTCGAGACATTCCCACTCATCCTTCTATTATTTCGCAGACGGGGACTCGCGGGGCGAGTTCGCCTGCGGCAGCGGCCAGGAGGACGAGGAGGGCACACCGGACACGGGGATGGAGGACATGGACGAGGAGCCGGAGGAGGACGAAGAGGACGAGGACGTAGAGATGAGGGTGACCGAGGACTCCTCGAACGCGGTCCGAGACGGAAACACGGCGGCTTCCAGCAACGTGGGTTCGTCGAACTGCAAGAAGAGGCAGTCCTCTTCGTCCTCGTCGTCGTCGAGCAGCGTGCAGGCGCAGGGCTGCCAGGGGCAGAACCAGGGCGGTCAGAACGGCACCGGGAGCGGGAGCACCGGGGGCAAGCCTAGGAGGGCCAGAACAGCGTTCACGTATGAGCAACTGGTAGCTCTGGAGAACAAATTCAAGACCACGAGATACCTGTCCGTCTGCGAGCGCCTGAACCTGGCGCTGTCGCTGTCGCTGACGGAGACCCAGGTGAAGATCTGGTTCCAGAACCGGCGAACCAAGTGGAAGAAGCAGAACCCCGGGCTGGACGTGAACAGCCCTACGGTGCCCACCACGCCGCCGCATCCCCCGCCTTACGCCCCGGCCTTCCTCTTCGCCACGCATCCTCATCAACATCCGCTGCCGCACTCGCATACCCATCCGCATCCGCACGCCCACGTCCATCATCCGCCACCCGTGCCGCCGCCACCACCTGGCTATTATCACCCGGCCGCGCCACCTTATCCTCCCACAGGAGCGACGTTCTTCGGTCATCACCTAACAGCCACCCCGGCAACGGCCGCCGGTCCACCGCCTACCTCCACGCCATCCTCCACGGGCCTGGCACTCTCCTCGCATCCACACCCGCACACGCACCCGCACGCGTAGCGAACTCGACGGTCTTCGTCGCCTTCGTAATCGTCGGAGAGCTGGCTGACTCGACGAGGAGGGACTTAGGGAATGTGGACTCGGCTGAGATACAGCGGCTGGCAGGAATGTAGGGATTTGATGAACTGCGAGATCGGTGGATGGACTCTTCGGTTGTCCATCGATTAAGTGAGCTGTCGGGAACGAAGAATTTGTATTTGTTACTTGCTTCGAGATATTGGACTTGTATGTTGTATGGTTTATGGAGTTTGGTTTAGATAGACACATTAACGGACGTTTGCATTGGGCAAAGTTATCTTTGTTTATCCTTCATGTTCGAATATCTGGATTGTTCAAAATGGCTGTCTATTCACTCCCACATGAGCAATGTTCCTTACAGTACAAGCATTTTCAACAAGAACGAATTATTTCCAATCAGATACTCGCATGTCCAAATCAAGATGTGTATGCAAGTATTCCTTTGTTTATTAAAGCTCATCTAGTGTGAGGTGTAGTAGATATCACAGCCATTGTAGATAAAATGTCACACCAATTATTATGTACCTCTTAATCTTTGCTCTGAACAGAGACGTAAGTTCATCATGATTAAATATTATAAAATTTGCTGTTACATGTGGAGGATTGTACCGAAAAATTTGCCGATGTGAACGTCCTCCTGCAAATCAATGAATGTTATATTATGTGAACGATGGTCGAAGGCGCTCGTCGGTTGTTTCTGCTCGATGTCAGCTCGTCGCCGCACGTGGGGCGCTCCCGATAGGGTAATCGGTTTACGCGGGGTGACGCGCAGAAAACGAGCGTATCTCTTCGAGGATATTGTCGAGGCATTTAAATTTCGTTCCCGACCGAGCGGGCAGGGGGATTTGGATCCATCGTCCAAGCGGAAAGATAAATACCCGGTGATACTAAAGCGAAGAATAACAGCTCGATCCTCGCGCGTAAACCTCGGATATGATTAAAAAAAAAGAATTTAACCCGACGGCGAGAAAGACGGAGAATACCTTCTCGTCGAATAGCCATTGTAACATATTCCGTTGGTCGCCACGAAATGGGAGTCGAAGTAGATTTTATCGGGGAAACGCTCGTAGCTGTAAGGTGTGCGTGAGAATCAAAATGATAAGGTGATAAAGGACGCGTCGGCTGCGCGCGTCGCCGGTGTGCGTGAGCGAGATACAAAAAGATTTAGTGAGCAATTTTTTGTGCTGAAACGCAAAAACTGAACCACGTTCGGAACGCAGTTCAACGTTCCTGTGTAAAATAAATACCGTACGTTACACTCGTAAGCCTTTGCCAGTAAATACACGCAGATTATCCCGTAGCATACGCCCGACCAGACGAAAGATCGATCTAGTCTGCTCGATCCTGACGCAACTCAAATTGAGCGGAGATTTTATGCATTACCCCTATTTAATCCTTGTTGAACCTAATTGCATTTCCGATCTCATTACCACCTTTACCTCGCAGAATTTTATTTCGATAGACGTACTGTTACGTTGTGGATCAAAGGTGGACATCACTGAAGTGGATATCAACGATGGTATGAATTATCGAAAATATAAAAATTTTAATGGTTAGGATACGAAATGCTGGTTTGGAATTAATGTAGAATTGGTGTTGGTCCGATTTGAAATACGATCTGAGTACGTTAGAATCAGTTTGGGAAGATTCGGATCGGTCAGAAGTCGATTCGGACTGATTCGGAACGATTCGGGTACGTTCGGGTCAATTCGGATCGGTCGTAAGTCAATTCGGAGCGATTAGGAGCGATTCGGAGCGATTCGGGTAGATTCGGGTCAATTCGGATCGGTCGTAAGTCAATTCGGAGCGATTAGGAGCGATTCGGAGCGATTCGGGTAGATTCGGGTCAATTCGGATCGGTCGTAAGTCAATTCGGAGCGATTAGGAGCGATTCGGAGCGATTCGGGTAGATTCGGGTCAATTCGGATCGGTCGTAAGTCAATTCGGAGCGATTAGGAGCGATTCGGAGCGATTCGGGTAGATTCGGGTCAATTCGGATCGGTCGTAAGTCAATTCGGAGCGATTAGGAGCGATTCGGAGCGATTCGGGTAGATTCGGGTCAATTCGGATCGGTCGTAAGTCAATTCGGAGCGATTAGGAGCGATTCGGAGCGATTCGGGTAGATTCGGGTCAATTCGGATCGGTCGTAAGTCGATTCGGAGCGATTCGGAGCAATTCGGGTAGATTCGGATCAATTCGGATCGGTCGTAAGTCGATTCGGAGCGATTCGGCGCGATTCGGAGCGATTCGGGTCAATTCGGATCGGTCGTAAGTCGATTCGGAGCGATTTGGAGCGATTCGGAGCGATTCGGAGCAATTCGGGTAGGTTCGGGTCAATTCGGATCGGTCGTAAGTCGATTCGAAGCGATTAGGAGCGATTCGGAGCGATTCGGGTAGATTCGAATCAATTCGGATCGGTCGTAAGTCGATTCGGAGCGATTCGGAGCAATTCGGGTAGATTCGGATCAATTCGGATCGGTCGTAAGTCGATTCGGAGCGATTCGGAGCGATTCGGGTCAATTCGGATCGATCGTAAGTCGATTCGGGCCGATTCGGAGCGCTTCGGGTCAATTCGGATCGGTCATAAGTCGATTCGGACCGATTCGGAGCGCTTCGGGTCAATTCAGATCGGTCGTAACTTGATTCCGACCGATTCGGAGCGCTTCGGGTAAATTCGGATCGTTTCGGGTTAACTCAAGACAGTGCAGATCAAATGAGTTCATCTTGAATCATTAAAATCAATCCAAATCGGTCCAAATCGTTTCAAATCAGTAAAAACCCACTCAATAACAAACCCAGCAATTACCACGAAAATTCCCAACAAATCCCAAAAGTCTACCAATAAAATCACACCGAATCAGTATCACAGAACCCCCAGCGAAGAAAAAATTCGTCCAAAACAAATGCGGAGTACAATTCGCATTGGTCAAGCAGCACCCTCATGGATTCGCGGGATTAGAAGGCTAATTGTCTTCCAGCTTGTTCCTGTTTCGTCCGCTTTTTCTTTATCAACCCTCGTGACCCGGACAATCGGTTTCCCGTGCTCCTCTCTCTCGAGGTGTCCGTCCCGGGGAAAGTAGCCGACAGTTTCGTGGAAACGAAGCAGGGAGACCACTAAACGAGCCGAACCATTAGATCCGCCGGATGGCGAACGAATATTCCTCGCTTTGAACCGCTCGAACTCTCATCCAGCTTTCTACGCACGGTTCGCGATACACAGCGGTGGCTTGTTGTCGGCCGTCCTTAAAGCCAGTCATGTTCAATCGACGGAAAATTGCTCGCGCCTTTGATGATAAAATTAGAATCCACTCGCGAGAGTAACGCTCGTTCCCACGAATTGGTTACGAATTTTTGGGAACAATGGGACTAGGGGGTGCGAGGCTCCTCTGGGACCTTGGAAAAAGGCTCTTAAACAGTTATTTCGTGGCTACTTCTTTTATTGAAAAATTGAAGCTCTAGGACATACAACAGTCCGAAATTGTTTTAGGACAACAGGTCAGCTAAATATAAATTTTCCTTAAAAAAAATATATATAAATTCTTCTGGTGATAATACGATTAAAGTGAAGTTTTATGGTAATTGAATTTGCGAGGTCGAAGAAAAATAAGGGACCTAAGTGGCGGCAAAAGTTTTATTGAAACGCCGCCAGATTTGCCGCAATGTTGGAAGATCGACTCGCATTATGTCAGGTCGTTGATGGATGACTTCGACGCTGACCAGCTGAAATATGTCGGTGCGTTTTGTTAGGGATATTGGGCTGTTCGTCCTGACATCGACGTTAATGAGGGAATATTTGAACCCCTGTTAATATCCAATTCCCACGTTGACGTTAAGGAATTAAGTGATGAATTTCTGGAATTTAGTTCATTTATTTTGAGGATGCAGGGAGTGTAGGATGATGAGTAAGATTAGTTCATTTCGAAATTTTTAGTTTAAACAAATTTTTTAAGTTCAAGTATCCTTAAGTTTGTTAATTTCACAAGATTCCAAAGTTACAGAACCTCGTGTTAAAATTTCACAAATCCTCATATTTACTGATATTAAAATTTCCAGATGCCTATCACGCAAACTCATCAATTCCTAATTCCAACCCCAACTTCAGTTATCAAAAAGGCCAAAGTCCCTGTCACAAAAAGTAAAAGTAGCAAGTAAAAAGTGAATCGTAGAAGAAGAAAAGTAGTGACGGTCCGAAAAATCAAGGGTCGCAAAAAATTAGCCATATCAGCGTCCGTTGGTCCGTAGACAATGAAAAACGTGTTCCCCGGTTTTAAGGAGTACCTTTATCTCGACCCTTCGAAACGACAGCGTTATCAAGAGGACCGGGAAGTTAGATCGACGCGAACGGTAATACGAAAGGAGAGACGAAAAGAAAGAGATTGTCGAGGCTGAAGAGGGTGGAGAAGATGATCCGGGGAGGACGATGGAAGCAGAAGAGGTGGCTGTCGCTCGGCCGCCGGACGATTCTCTCGAATTAATTCTTAGGGGTGGATTTGGGAAGGGGCCGCCACCGCCGCCTGTTAGGGGTGTGAGTGGAACGAGTGGACCGTGAAATAACCAACCCCCGCGCGACACTCGCCCCACAGGCCGACAGTGGCGTAACATCTATGTGTGCACCGTAAGATTCTTTTCGAGGACGCTTAACTTTCCAGATACACTAGGGGCGCTAATTAACGATCTGTCTTGCTACTCACCTCGAGACCTGTATTTCTTGTCTCCGTGGCTCATTAACGTCGGAATCAACGATTGATCGATACGGAGAAATAACATCGTTCTTCGATGTTACGTTGTTTTGTCATTAAGCTTTGTTTCATCATTAAAGGGATCTTCTTATTACCTACGATGTGAACACTGGGGGTAGATAAGGGGTATCACACACTTGTGCAGTTAAATTTTACTGTTCATAGACTGCTGCGTATTTAAGGGTAGTTTGCTTAGAGAATATGGGGAACTTTTCTTAAAACCTTCATCATCATATATTTTAGTAACATCACATATGTTGAGCAAAGTGTAGTCATATGTGACTCCCTAACATATGTGACTTACATTAAATTTCATCCTTCATTATCATACAGTCTCTCATCATCACATACGATAACCAAGATGTAAATACTTAGTCAAAACGTCATCGTCTTATTGTACATAGGGTAGTTTGCCTAGAAGAGTCATATGTGATACTCACAAAGAAACCTTCATACTCACATGGTCCCTTATGATCACATATGATAAACAGAATATAAGTACTCAGCCAAAACCTCACAATCTTATTATACATTTTAGAGTAGTTTGCCTAGATTACGCATACGTGACGTCCATATTACACCTTCATCACATGATCCACATATGAACATCACATGTGACAGGCAGAAGGTAAATAGTCAAAACGTCCTAAACTATCATACATATAAAAGTACAGTCACATATGAACCACAACGACCAATTACCATATGTAATATCATATAAGTACCACATGTAATATCATATGGTACCACATGTGATATCATATGGTACCATATGTAATATCATATCATGCCATATCAACAAGTTTATTTACTTCTAAGAGTATTATCATACATATAAGAGTACAATTACATATGAACCACAATGACCAATTAACCATATGTAATGTCATATAAGTACCATATGTATCATATGGTACCATATGTAATATCATGCCATATCAACAACTCTATTTACTTATAACAGTATTATCATACATATAAGAGTACAATCATATATGAACCACAATGACCAATTACCATATGTAATGTCATATAAGTACCACATGTGATATATGGTACCATATGTAATATCATAGCATGCCATATCAACAAGTTTATTTACTTATAACAGTATTATCATACATATAAGATCACATATGAACCACAACAACCAATTACCATATGTAATATCATATGACAAGTATCATATGTATCATATGTAATATCATGCCATATCAACAAGTACCGATCACAAGGTCAGAAAAGTGTATAAAGAACCTAGTTGGAAGAAATAGTGAAAGATTCCGCAAGATCGAGTTACCAATTATCCACAGTCAACCAGCTATTCCCTTTATCCCTGCTCCGCCTTCCTGTTTCCGGTGCAACAAGCTCCCGTCGCCGCTCGAATAGTCGAGCGAGTCCTCTCCGGGGATTCGTGTACGGATTACCAGTTTGAGGTCGTGGCGTCGCACGCATCGAAAGCAGCAAGGCACGCCACTGCAGTCAGCCTGTTCCCACTTA